CCCAAACAAATTTTTTGTCAGGGGGCCCATGATTCCTGGCGGCGCCCCTGCACACTGGAGGGACTATGTTTCTTGACTGGCCTGGCAATACCATGGGATTCCCCTCGAGGAGCTGGCCTAAGTGGCTGAGGAGAGAGAAGTCTGGGCCTCCTTACTTAGGTTGCTGCCCCACGACCCGGCTCCCCATAAGGTGGGAGAGAGGGTGAGAAAGAGGGAGGGACGGACGGATGGGTTTAACCACTCTGGATCTGGGAACCTTGCCACAGACCCTTGCAGAAGGCAACATCCATCATGCTCTTACTAAAAGATGGTAAAAAAAACAGAGTTATTGCTCTATATCTTAGACCCATTATCGTCTATCTCCAACATTGTGAATTCGCCAAACCATTTTGGTATATTTTCAGGATATAAAAGGAATTTCCCAAAGAGTGAACATTTTCCAATTAACTCTCCGCTCAAAATTACAGAAACTGAGTTGCCCTTCCCTCTCTCTAGAACAGGATTTAAATATTTGGGAATTAATGTGACCCGTTCATTTTCTGATCTGTTCGGAAAGAATTTCACTCCTCTGCTTAATAATCTTAAATGTGACCTCCAGAAGTGGAGTGTCCTAAATTTATCCTTAGCCGGCAAAGTAGCATGTAGTAAAATGAATATATTGCCAAGATTTATGTATCTTTTTCTGAGTATTTCAGTTTTCTTCCAAAATCATTCTTCAGACTTCTTGATGAACAGCTGTCCTTGTTCTTATGAGGTTATAAATACCCCAGAATCAGTAGGCGATTCCTTCAGAGACACAAAGAAGAGGGTAATGTGACTCTACCCAACCTGATGTATTATTGGGGAGCAAACCTACAAACAGTCTGATTGCTTCAACAATCAGATGTTGACTGGTACCAATTAGAACTGAATGGATGTAAACCATCATCAATCCCTGCATTAGTTACCTCAAAGCTCCCTATCTCCCCTAAGCAATACTCTTCATGCCCAATTGTAATCTCCACCCTAAAAATCTGGCCACAACCAACACTTCAATATGTTGAAGGACTTGAGATGTCAAACTCCAGTCCTCAAGGGCCAGTGTCCTGCAGTTTTTAGATGTGCCACCGGTACAAAACACTGGAATGAAATGGCTTAATTACCTCCTCCTTGTGTAGATAAGTTCTCCAGAGCCTTGCTAATGACCTAATTATTCTATTCGGCGTAGTGCAGCAAAGGCACATCTAAAAGTTGCAGGACACCGGCCCTTGAGGACAGGAGTTTGACACCCCTGGACAGTCTATGAACTATAGTTTACATGTCTATAGTCCCATATGTGATAACCATGTTTTCCTGGCAGCCATATAAGATCCTGTCTTTACTTAGTGGTGGAGAGCAGGCTTATGTAAATTTAGTGATCTTTATATAGATGGAATTTTTGCTACCTTTAATACCAACACGTCTAAATTTAATTTACAGTGTTCCATCCTATTCCGCTATCTCCAGATTCAAGAATTTGTTTGTAACATCAGTCTTTGCTTTCCTAAAATTAAATTAAAGTAAATTTAATGCATCTATCTTTGGTTAAAGCTCAACACATCTGCCTTCCGATTGGTTGGTTCACCTAAAACAGGTGAGGTTTCACCCTTAAGCTCTTAGTATCACAATGTGGGAAGTTTAAGCCTTGAGTTTCATATGCAAAGTGTTCTGTTTACTTGTAGCCAGATGTTGACAAACTAAAACAAGATTTTTGACAGAGTTTTAAGAGGAGCAGGAAAAGTAAATAAAGTGGATTAGCACTGCTTATCAACAACTCATAGTGCCAAACGGGACTCGTATAAAAAAAAAATTTTTTGAGGTAATTCCATGGTCTGTAATTAATTAATTGAAACTAATTGCATTCTAATCAGAAACCATATGTCAACAAAATAAATATCTTAAAATTCTATTTACTGCTAAATTATTGAATAATTAGACACATGAGGTCAACAACGAGAATATTTATTGTTTTTAATCTATTATTTAGGCTATTCAACCATAAGATTTGTGCAAAGTGCTATTATATCTATGCAGCTTTCCAGTGTTTCAGAAACCCCTGATCATTCATGAAACTTCTTTAGAAATGTGAACTGCATTAGCGTTGGGGACATCTGTGCTGCTGCCACATGTTTAGCACTGAGATGCTGTTGTATCCTCGAATAGCTTTGCTGATAAGTTAACTCCTTTTAGCACATCTTGAACACAACAATAATGTTTTCCAGCATCCCATCAGATCATTTTTTTAAAGAAAAAATTAAGTGAGAAGCGGCGTTGTTGACCATCATTGTTGTTTGGGCTTCAAATTTACAGACGTACCAAATACAAAGGTTCAGGCCAGGGACTTTTGTATGCAAGAAAAAAAAATTAATCGCATTAAAAAAAATGTTTCTGTTAAAACCTACGTAAATAATTAATCAAAATGAAAGCAATAAAGTTCTGGACATTTCCATTGTGGTGATCTGTGTTTTTCTGTGTGTTATTTTGAGGTTTTCTGTGTCCTGTTTTCTCCTATGAATCTCTGTGCCATCCTGATTGTTTCCAGCTGTGTCTCGTTTCTTTGATTACCCTCCCAGTGTATTTAGTCCCACCTGTTGCCTTTGTCTGTTGTCGGATCCTCATCGTGTAACGTCTTGCTGCCTGTTGTTCAGTTCGATGGATTTTTCATTAAATCATCATCACTTCAACCTGGGTCTGCCTGCGTCCTCCCTCACCATTCCTCACAAATCATGACATCCATAACATGTTGCTGACCATAAATTGAGCCATTAGCATATCATAAAACTGATACAGCAACAGTCTTCTCTCAGAGGCCTTTTTAAATGAACTGACATCAGACTTGTATAGCACTTTTGAAGAGATTCAACAACACTTCATCTTTCTTTCCCATTCAGGCACACATTCACACACTGATGATGGCAAGCTACTTGATTGTAGCCAGAGATCCAACCATTCTGAACATACTTGGATGATACGAGTTACGACAACATTAAGTTTTTCTTTGAGATAAAATAAGTTTAGAATTGAATTTAATTGTGGGAAAAAAACTTGTGTTTATGCAACTTTTCTACACATGAAAAAATTGTCTTCAGCTCATGCATATATAGGGAATTCTCGGACAGATTTCTTTTACAGGGTGACAAAGCCATGATTCACAGCTGTAAGTGTTTGGAAATATTCACAAATATCAATTCTCAATCCTACAGTCCAGATGACTCTTCAATTGAGGACATAAACGCAAGCCATCAAACTTAAACCCTGTAGCTGATTTCTTGCATTCCAACATTTGAACCGTTCTCAGAGCAGAACTTCAGATTCGGAACTGGAAAAGTCTTGAAGTGGGTGGAGCGGTGGTGGTGGTGGGGTTGCACTAAATCCCTGTGGACCTGTTATTATGTCTACATCTGGGCACCGAGCCTACAACATCAGGCACACATTTTTCAACTGGGCTTTTTTCCAGATGAGCACACCACTTAGCTGAACTTTGGCCAAGAGTAAAACAGAGCTCATTACTGAGAAATATGCTTGCAGGCTCACATTTTAAAGTGTGTGAGTAATTTTTCAATATGAACTAGGAGGAGGGGAAGGTGGAGGACCTGTATCATCTGAAGAACAAAGCACAGATTCTCAATGTTAGGCTTGAAAAGCTACAGTGACTTGCACACCCTGGACTTTTTTGTCACATTACAACCCCAAACCTCAATCTGTAGTAGCACAGAACTGTAAAGTGGATGGAAAATTATGCAATATAAAAATGCATGGTGTGCAGTTGTATTCTTTCCCTCTAAGTCAATTTATTGTGGAAGCTCAGTTTTTTCAATAATTTACAAATTTATTTAGTCTAAGTGTTTCAGGAACTCCTTATTAGGCCTGTTACAATGACAAATTTTGCTGGCCAATTAATTGTCCCAGAAATTGTTGCGATAAACAATATTCGTGTCATTTTGAGACCATTGTTTACAAATAGCATAAAAATTGCATAACAATGCAAATACACCTTGTCTGAAACACATTTTAAATAAAAAATTGGGATGGGGTTGGAGTTCACATTCAGATCCTCCGGTTCTTGGCAGGGGGGAAAGGGAGCCGCCACCCACAAGATGCATTGGTGCGATTTAGATGTGGATATGGCAGTTGTTTAGTTGCTACTGTTTTACAGCGTAGCAGCTCCACAGGTTCAGTGGTTCACTGGTGACTGTGATGAACACAGTCACCAGTGATTCATTTTGAAGCCAAAGCGCTCCCAGACAGCAACTGTCACGTTCGCCTTTTAAACCAGCGTTTCCCTGGCTCTCTCCTCCTCATCGGGCTTTATGTTACGCTCTGTGGTAGGAGACCAGGAGCCTGGTAGGTAACTGAGGTAATGTTCATTCGGTGACAGTAGTCAGCACTGCTCCCTCTCCATTCATTTCTATGAAACTTGCATGGTGAGGCGACAGTCACTTGACCTCATCCAGAAGAGCAAACAGCATAATTCATACATGTGAAATTTCTAGCTTGTACATGTAGACGAGCACACGTGGGCTAATGATGCTACACAAGAAAGTAGAAAATTATTCAACTCCTGTTGCTTCTGTCAATGGGTTTTGAAGCAAAATGTAACTCCCAGTGGGCCAAGAGAAGCAGCTTTACTGTCCATCGCATGTCGCTTGTGCATCAGATTTAT